ATTTTTTGTGTTGACCTTGAAATTTGACTGCGCCGCATGGCCAACGAATTCCAGCTATTAGCCATCCACATAAATCCCAGCTATTAGACTGCAATAGGATGCAAATGGGTTTATCATGTGAAATTTAAAGCTGATGGTACAGTTGAAAGATATAAAGCTCGGTTAGTAACAAAAGGTTACACTCAACAAGAAGGTCTTGACTTTTTCGATACATTCTCCCCTATTGCAAAGATGACTACTGTGCGCACTCTACTTTCCATTGTTGCAATTAAACATTGGCATTTACATCAACTTGATGTAAACAATGCTTTTCTACATGGAAATTTACATGAAGAAGTGCACATGTAACTGCCAAAAGGATATTCCTCACCTACTGATACTAGAGTTTGCAAACTCAAAAAGAGCCTGTATGGTTTAAAATAAGCTTTAGAAAGTGGTTTTCAACATTATCATCTTCTTTGATTCAACATGGTTTTACTCAAGGAAAGTTTGATTCCTCTTTGTTCATCAAACAAACTTCAAAGAGTTTCATGGCCCTGATATATGTTGATGATGTTATCGTTGCATTTGATAACCTCGCTGATACAGACATTGTAAAGAAGCATTTGCACGATCCTTTCACCATAAAAGACTTAGGTAAACTAAAATATTTTTTGGGAATTGAAGTAGCTCGATCAGTAAAGGGCATTACTCTATGTCAATGCAAGTATGCGTTGGATATTATGCAAGACAGTGGTTTTCTAGTTGTAAACCAGCAACTTTTCCTATGGAATCTACACTAAAGTTGAGTGAAAATGATTCATCACCTCTTTTATTCAATCTTGCATCCTATAGAAGGTTTGTTGGTCGTCTTTTATACATTACAATAACTAGGCCTGACCTAGTTTATCCAGTACAAGCATTAAGTCAATTCATGGCTAACCCCAGTAACATACATCTTAGAGCTGCTGAGAGGGTTCTGAGATTTATATTAAAGCAACACCATGTCAAGTTATTTTCCTATCTGTAGCTTCTTCTGTACACCTGAAACCTTACTCAGATAGTGAATGGAGAGGATGCATTGACACTAGAAGAAGTGTCACTGGTTTCACAATTTTCCTTGGAGACTCTCTTATAACTTGGAAATCGAAAAAGCAATCAATTGTCAGTTGTTCTTCTGCTGAATCTGAATATAGAGCCCTAGCTTCAACCACTTGTGAGCTTCTATGGTTGATCTATCTGCTAGCTGACTTACATATTTATCATCCTCAAGCAGCTTTACTCTATACTGACAGCAAACCTGCCTCTGATATTGCTTCCAAACTTGTTCATCATGAAAGAACAAAGCACATTCAACTAGATTGTCATATAGTTCGAGAGAAATTACAAGAAGGTCTCATCAAAATCATCTACATCCCTTCCAAGCATCAGTTGGCCGATATACTAACAATACCATTTGGTTCTCTCAACTTTCACTATCTCATCCGCAAGATGGGATTGATGAACATCCATTCCCCTCTTGGGGGGGGGGGTGTTGGAATCTACAATCTTACATTGAAGTCTTGGAATTGAAGGCTCGAGAAACAAAGGAAAGAAACTGTGTTTGTTCAAACAAATGAACTGGAATTAAGTTGGAAACAGAGTAGCTGGAAGTGGGCTGGAAGAATTGAAGCTGAATTAGTTTTAGTTGATTTGTTAGTTAACACATATGTCTACATTGTACTGGTTTGTATAAATTCAATTGGTTAGTATGTTAGATAGAATCTGAATCTTTTCTTTGCTCTATTTATGTCACGACAAATGCATTGTAATCGTCAGGTTTTTCAAATAGAAAAATTCATATTGAATTTCTCTCAAGATTTCTTCCTTTTTTTTATTACTTTCTAAATTCTAGATTAAGGAATTTTACACATCTAAAGCTTTGAAGAAATTCTTGTAATTTCTAACCACGAGTTCGATGAATTATGGTATGGAGTCCCTCTTCTATAATTTTTTGTGTTGACCTTGAAATTTGACTGCGCCGCGTGGCCAACGAATCCCAGCTATTAGCCATCCACATGTATCTTAGTTGCACACTTAGACAACCATGTTAGATAGCTTGTAACAGTTGCTCTAGTGGTGTGCGTCAGAGACACTCCTAGGGTCAAGTCAAATGAATGCATAGATGTTTTGGGTGATGGAAGGACAAAATGAACAAGAATATGGGGGCGAGTTTGAAGAGAGAGCATGAATCTTGTGTCAGACTTGTCGTTGCTTGACACAAGTAGCAACCACCCTATGTCATAAAGGCAAACTGAAAGTACTAAAAAGTTGACTGAGCATATGTCTGTAATATACGCAGAGAAATTTTTATGCGGAAATGTGATGTATACAAAGGATATTATTTACAGATGTCAACCACCTTGAAGATGCACTGCAGCAGGAGGTAACTCACCTCGTAAGAGTCACTTCAGAGGGAGTACATTGTGTGCTTGGAGAGGCGGTCAATCACATCGGATGAGGTGCCTAACCTTCTCGCCAAATAATCAAACCACCTCTTTCGTCGTCTTTGCTTAGTTTGCTGTCACGCAGTTTGTCTCATAGAATAAGACATAATTGTCTGAGTCCTCCCTTATATGACCTAGTTTTTCTCTTTATATAGCCCTCAAGTGTCCTTGAAAGTTGTGCCGAAAAGAAACCCGAAGTGCCCTCGTATATGGAATAAAATTATGGAGTCCCGATCCTTGCCGAACCGAGCTGCAACTTCAACATGCTTAGTTGCAGTCTAGCAGCGGCAATCAAGGATCAAAATCTCTATAAAGTCTAGTTTAATGCACAATGAAGGAGAAAACACCAATCTCTGTACTGATTTGAGAAGACAATATAACATGTTCAAGTATAAGATTAAGCTTGAGAAGAATGTATGAAAGAAAATTTAATGGTCAAAGTTGTAATAATTAGATACAAATCAAAAGACAATAAGTTCGTTCATTCCAAATCTTGACAAAGTCTATTTTATTACACAACATATATAAGATAGAAAACAAGGTAACATGTTATGTAAAAGATAAAGCTTGAAAAGAATGAACTGGTCAATACTTAATATTCAAAGTTTCTTATAGAAATGAGACCAATGAATCGAAAAACGATAGTTGGTTCATTTGAAAACTTTATAAAGTTCATTTTATTACACAACGTAGTGAAAAGAACCCATATTTGTACCGGTTTTAGAAAATAAGTGTAAGACCAAACTTAAAGAAAATGAACGGGTGCATACTTAATAGTCGGAAGTGACTTATAGATATGAACCCGAATTTAAAGATTATAGTTGTTTGATTCTTAATCTCGATGAAATCTATTTCATAGCACAACGGAGGAGAATTTTATGTGGCTCAGCGTGGATTATAACAGGATTCTATTGGTTGGTTATTTGAATGGACTTCTTTACTCCTAAACACAGTTATCAAAATTTGGATAACTATTTTGGTTCACTACTAAATACTTTTTTTTTTAATTTACGAAAAAGGACCTTTTTTTTTTTTTTTAATATAATAGTATTGGATTTTTCAATAGTGTATCACGGTAGAATCCAATGCTGTGTAGTTGACTCCAAATAGTATGACAACAAGGTTAATATGTTACATTTGTATTTGAAGATTAACATGAAAATATTCGACACATGTAGTTAATTTTTTATTTAAACAATTAAATTTGTTTCTAACTTTTAAGTTAAGCACCCTCCTAATGAAATTGGAAAAAAAAAGGTAAAAAAANGCACTGACGAGTCTTTGCAAAGAATGTAATAAAAGTATTATTGTCTCCTCAACAATTTTTTTAATAACTAAATTAAGGGACCAATTATCGAAATAAAAAATAAAAATAAAGAGAATAACTACTCAATTTTTATGTGGTCATTCGTGGATTAGAATAGATTTCCATGTTTAGGTATTTGAAAAGTAGCGACGTTATTAAGATTCCTAGTGGGCCAAATGTACACAAAAAGGCAAATAAAAACAAATAATGTGATTTGAGATATAACTTATAAGCAACCTCAAAAAATGTGATCACTATTGGATCAATAATTTTTATGTGGTCATTGAGTTTTTCAGCCAAAAAAAATAAAATAAAAAATGGAGTGTTAAAACATTTAATCTACTCAAATTCAAATATGTTGACATAAGAATTAGTTAGATGTATTTCTATTAGAAAATCCAACAACAACAAAGTTAGAAGCGAATATAGATTAAACATAGCGTGATGAAAATTTTGTTTGCGTCAAATGTTTAATAAATATAGCACGTTGGGTCGAACAGAATAATAAAAAAGTTTCATGTATTTGATCTTAAACTTATGCACAAGAAAACTTAATTTGTTGTTCTATCGGACTATCTAACCAATGAAAATTCGTTTCAGAAAACATTATATGCTGCCTTAATTAGTCGACAACCAAACATCAGACATTGAATTACTTTGTTGCGAATCACCAGTTGTTCTTATTATCTAACATTGCATGCATGCACAAGGGTTTCTCAATCCCAAGCTTACAAGAATTTGATTTAAAAGTTGTAAAATGGTCCGACCACTTTATGCATACAATTTCTCATATATTCTCATATGATTTCTTTGCTAAATAAATATTTTCTGAAATTTTGACATGGGTATTCATGTAATTTGACTCATGCAAAATTATCCTTAATTTTCCAAATGAAGGGCTGTGCTTCCTCAATGTCACCTACACAAGATAAGGTTTATAAGGAGGACTGCCACGTGGCAAGCCACGATACTCCCCAAAGGATAAGACAGCAATCCATTTCTGATCCTCCAATATGTGGCCTCAAAATCGAAATGTCATTGAACATGAGATCCAACGGTCAATTGCCATCAAAATTTAGCAAGATTGAATGAAGGACCTTTGGATGAAAATTTAATACTAGCCAACCGAACACAAGGGTAGATTTGCATATATAGGGTGAGATAGACGCACAGTATATTATCACAATAAGGTCATTTTGTGTGTTAAGTGAACCAAACAAGAACTAATAATGGCTGCCTCAATGGTCTCCACCGCCGCCGTTGCTGCCGTCAACCGTGCCGCCCCGGCTCAAGCCAGCATGGTGGCTCCTTTTACTGGCCTCAAGTCTACTTCGGCTTTCCCCGTTAGCCGCAAGAACGTCGACATTACATCCATTGCCAGCAATGGTGGTAGAGTGTCTTGCATGAAGGTATTCCAAGACAACTACTAATATATTAGGTTTACGCGCTTTAAAAAAAAGTTCCTACTGTAATTTATTTCGGAGAAAGAGTGTTTCTGTCCTAATAATTGTAGGGTTAGTTCGATTTTGTTTGATTTGAAATTAGATATTCATTGAACATCATTATATTTTCCAAATGAAATTAGGGGATATATGTGGCTTTACTCTGCAGGTGTGGCCACCACTTGGTTTGAAGAAGTATGAGACTCTTTCTTACCTTCCCCCTCTCACTAGGGAACAACTCATCAAGCAAGTCGAATACCTTCTCCGATCTAAGTGGGTTCCTTGCCTCGAATTCGAGTTGGAGGTCAATACCCTAAACCTAAACATTCTTTATTCAACTCCATTGATGAATACTGGACAAGATAATTAATAAATTTATCATATCTAATTATGTCAAGTATTATATAGGCTAACGTATGTACCAAACATGTTGTATATTCATTGATTTGATCTTGAAAACTATGTTGATGGGATATTTGCAGCATGGATTCGTGTACCGTGAGAACAATAGGTCTCCAGGATACTATGATGGACGATGCTGGGTGATGTGGAAGCTGCCCATGTATGGATGCACAGATGCAGTGCAGGTGTTGAACGAGGTGGACTTGTGCGTCAAGGAATACCCCAATGCCTTCATTAGGATCATTGGATTCGACAACGTGCGTCAAGTGCAATGCATCAGTTTCATTGCCTACAAGCCAGAAGGATACAACTAAAATGACTCTCATTTAGTTTGTAATTTTCTTTCTATGATGAAGAATTATTTTGTGTTAATTTGTATTTGTCGAATTTCCAATGCAACGTAATGAAATTTATGAGGACATTAATAAATATATAAAGTCCGTTTTCATTGTATTAAATTTATTTTGCAATTCAATATTCGTATTATAATATAAATAAATAAATAAACATCTCCAATCTTTAATAGTTAAATTTTTTTTGTCCGAGAATTTCACAGTCATCCAATTATAAGCATTTAGTAAATTCAATTAACATAAGAGGAGACATGATGAAAATATTAAAAACAAATAATTCTCTCTCCAACTTAAATTTTTTGAGATAATACAGTGAAGATTCTGTGTTTCATTAGCACAATGCATTTATTAATTAGAAGAAAATTTGTGAGCGGTGCCCCCACATTTCATTAGTCAAAGACATTTAGGCTTGGGCGTCGGTAGGTCTATTTGAGTATTTCAATACTTAAAATCATTCATTACATTTCGAGTATTTCGTGAATGGAATCATTCCAATCCTTGTAATAATTGGAACTAAATCCAAACTCGAAATGTCGATTCCGATTAGGGTTCGATTCTAATGATATTTCACGATGCAAATGAACCAATTTTGTAAAGAGGAGTGTGTTGTAAGATAAATATAAATAAATAATTGTTTTTATATCCAACCCGTACGTGATAATTTAGTCTCTCATTTTCGAGGAAAAAAATGTTAGTTTTGGTGGGAGATATGTCTTCATTAGTTGGTGGCTTATCTTTTAGCTACCACTGAAATGTGGATAAGAAAACCAGAGAATTTTGTGGTGGGTGTAAATGTCATTGTTATTGAATTATTGTTAGTTCAAACATTATTTATTTCTCATTGACTCTTTTATGAAACCAAAAATATCAACGGATGATCTTTTTTTTTTTTCAAGTTTCTTTTCCACACTACTACAAAATGTGGCTATGAGCCTATGACAAAGGAAAAAACGTGTCACTTATAGCAACGACGATGCGACAAATAAATTTATTTTTGATTTGTAAAAAATAAAATTAGCGACGGAGAAATTCCCTCTAAATGTCCCTTGTAAAAGGAAAAAAATATATATATCGTCCAAAGATGACTCAAAAATATCGATCCACTTCATATATAAATATAAGTATGTATCAACAACAGATATCAAAAAAATAACAATAATATACAAATATTTGATGTACCTTTGTGTTTCATTCAAATACTCAGTAGGTGCATTCTCTCTTGCATCATTACTCTCATCCCTGGAATAAACTGGCCTGAAACCGGTCTTGAGTATATCCCACTCGTTTTCATATTTCCAAAATGTATGTCCTCAACAAATGTCCGAAATAAAGGTTTTAAATGCCCCCAATTTTTTGACCAAACATATGCTAGATGATATCTATGACAATCGTGACATATTAGAGCATGTTTGATTAAGTTTAAAATTATTTTTTTTATTAACTTAGGGGTTGTTCTCTTCGTGTTTCAATTTTAATTTTGAGTTTTGAATTCATTTTGAATTTTGTGTTTTGAGTGTCCATTTTGAAATTGTTGAAAACGTATTCTTTTTGTCATTTTATAAATTGTTTTCAAAAATAAAAAATGAAGTTTTGGCTTGATTTTAACTGAAGGTAGCCCAAACGATTTTTTTGACGTTTTCTGTTTTCTTTGTAAATTTTAAACTCGTTTTTGGAAATTCGTTTCTGAAAAAAAGTAAGTAAACGTATTTTCAGTGTTTTCAAAAACTGAAAATTGAAAACTGAAAATGGCCTGAAAACAATAAAGAGAACAAATATTTACTCTTTGAAAAAACTAAATTTTGTCAATAATTTTTTGTTTTCAAGTTACATTTGACAAAAGAAGACGTAAAAGTAGATTTTACTTTTTTTTATATAAGAATGTAATTTAGAAAAAATAAAATAAAATTACATTGACGTGCTCACATGATGTCACTACGCCAAAAAAGAGATTTTGCAACACATAAACGGCAACATTCGGTAGTTAAGTGTTGCTAAAGGGATCAACCACAACATTTTAATAAGTGAATGTTGCTAATGTTACCTTTTGCAACATTTTATGTATGTTGTGAAATGTTTTTCTTTTTGCAGCATTTATTAGACGTTTCAAAAGGATAAACTTTTTGCAATCTTTTGCAACGTTTATTAAACGTTGCAAAAAGATAAACTTTTTACAACGTTTATAAGATATTTTGCAACGTTTATTAAACGCTGCAAAAGATCAACTTTTTCCAACGTTTCTTAAACATTGCGAAATGTAATATTAGCAACGTTTATTAATCGCAATGTTTAATAAACGTTGCAAAAAGTAAGGAGGATTAGGCGAGCTGGGCTGATTATTGCCTAAAAATTAGGCCCAATAAGGAAAGGTCCAATTCGTAACCCAATGGCATAAACCGGCAGGTAGGAACCCGTTTCCCAATTTCTTCACTTCCAATTTAGGCGCTAATACGCGCGACTTCGTCTCCTTCTCTAACTCCAACTCCTACTCCAACAAAGTGGAGCCTTTTCCCAATTCGTTAGTCCCAATTAAAAGTTGAAGCACGCGACTCCGACTCCTACTCCTACTCCTACTCCGTCAAAGTGAAAACTTTTCCCAATTTTTCATTTCCAATTAGAAGCTAAAGCGCACGACTCCGACTCTCATCTGTAGCAGAATTAAGGTTTGTTTATCTGTGTATTTCATTATGGATTTTTTCATTTTGCTATGTGTATTTGATTACTTATTTTATATTTTTACTATGTGTTAAGAGGCAATCTGTTGGTGGGTATTTTGATATTTGACAACCAGTATTTTGACATTCAGTAGGACTCTCGGCTATGGGGATTACACTTTGGGAAAGTTTAAAAAGTCGATATGATTTCAGTTTTTTAACTTTTCTCTCGATCTGCTTTTCCTAATTACCGTAAGTACTTCATTATCAATCTTTGTTCTCAGGCTTGTTGAAGGAATTTGATACTATCTTAGGGAAACGCCAATGTACTGAGTAAAAAATTTTCTTGGAATATCCAAACATCAAAACTTTGGAAAGCAACCTTACAATTTATGGCAGTTGTGCAAAACTTTGGAAAGCAACCTTACAATTTATGGCAGTTGTGATAGCTTGGTGCGCAACACTCAGAGTTGGAGAGATCTAGTTCTTGAATGGGTTTATGAATTGCTTGACTGTTATTCCTTTTACAATTGTTAAAGCATCTCATTTAGTTAAGTTAATTTTAATCTTCACCAACTTCCAAGTTAATTTACAATTGTTAAAGCATCTCATTTAGTTAAGTTGATTTTAATCTTCACCAACTTCCAAGTTAAAGCATCTCATTTAGTTTGTCTGATGTAGATAGAGGATGCTTGCTTCCTGCCCCACATTACAGTATAGAATCCAATCGCTATTATTGTTGCACCGATGATGCTGCAAAATAGCACACGGAAAACAGAAAATGAGCTATTTTGTTTTTAGGTGTCTGGTGGGGGTATGGGTGTACCTTCCTAGATTAAGAGTATCACCAAGGATGACGACTCCCATGGTAGCTGCAATGGCAATGGACAATGGCTTGAACATGGCCACATAGACATGTCCCTTTAAGTGAAAGGCCCATGTATGAATAACATTGTTCAAGCCAGACCCAAAAACCCCCTGTATATTTTTATTTCTTTTTTAAACATCAGAATCTGGTGGGAATTAAGGAAAAGACAACTATTTTCATCACTTACAAAGCATAGAATAGAGGCTGACGAGATGTTGGGTCTTATTATCCATTTGCTAGAGTCTGGTTCTGCAATGAGACCTACGAATGCAGCTAGGATGCTCACAAATAAATTGTAGAAAAACATCAGTGTCAGTTCTGCCTGGTACTCTTTCATGATATGCGTCTATGAATAAAACACCAAGTCAAGTCCAAGTTTTATTTATTTTACTCAAGATATTAATAAAAAGAACTATAGGAAAAGGAAACGAAAAAAATATGGTCATACTTGAATAAGACAACACCGATGACACTAAGATGCTTGTAACATAATTGATCACGTCTAACAATCTAACATCGATCCTGGTTGAGCAAAGGTCAGTAACATCACCGAGTTTAATTGAGATTTCACACTAGTTAGTGAGTTTCAACTTCGTTTCATAAAACACACAGAATTTGACATTTAAAAAACAAGAATAATTTAGATAACTTAGTTGGAACAAATGACACTTTAGTCTTCTTCTTTACTCTCCATATTTGATTTGTTGGGCTATATTCTCATTTGTAATCCTATATATACTTCTTACAATTTTCAATCCTATGACTTAAGAAGTTAGAACATCTAGAGGAGTTTATTTATTTAAGTTTTTTTGTTTAACGCATCATTTCGCATGTAGGCCTCATTTTTCAATTTAAACTATGTGTGATTTATTTGCTCTGTATCTAGACATTTTGCATTTATGAGTGACCATAACTTGTTCAAAATTGGTGACTAAATTTTACTATTTTTATTTGTCGCAATGTAACCTTTGTACAGTTTTATTTTTTCTTTCTTGTTAAACCAAGGTGTTCTACTTGTCCATTTACTACAACTTTTACATGGTATAGTACTAACTGTTTGATTTGTTCTATGAAAGCCAGAAGACCTAAGGGGGCCCTTTGAACAATTTGGCCCTTTAAAGGACATCTATTTGCCAAGGAATTATTACACTGGGTGAGCTTTCATATAATGGTTTTCAGGATTTACAGTAAACCATCACTTTTTTATGTAATTATATAAATGAATTGTCGATCTGTTTGCCTTATTTTATATGGTTTTCCTTATCTGCTTCCAATTGCTATTTTTATATGTTATAATCCCAAATTGGGTTGTTTATTAAGATTTATGGGTTGTGAAGACTTCGATCAAGTCTTTAAGAGTCCTATTGACACATTCAAATATTAAGAATTATGTTGACATCAATCAATTAGTTACTATATTAATAAATAATCTCATGTATTAGGCATTGAAGGACTACGATCAACGATTGCCCTGCCTCANAGGACAACGATCAACGATTGCCCTGCCTCAACGGCAACATTGCCGTTGCCGTAGAGTCTTTCGCAACGTTTTTTAAACGTTGCCGTATCTCTTCCCTCAATGGCAACACTGATCCCCCGCAACACACGCTAAAACGCTGCAAAAGACTTTTGCAGCGTTTTTTGACTGCTGTAAAAGGTCTTTTTTTGATGTAGTGTGTACATAAATTCATACCATATTTGTTATTTGTTGTACCATATTTTAGTTGTACCTAGGGACCTCAATCTTCGCTAATAAAAATATGGTACTACTAATTTGCTAGTTTATAGAAAGGACCTTAGATCCAATTAAAATATGGTACTACTAATAAAAATTGATGTGTGAATATAATTGCCTTTAACAATACCTATGTACTGAAACAATTCAGAATAAGGCAATGGCTAAATATATTTAAACCATAATCTTCAATAACCAAACTACATTTTAATTGCATAAAAGGTCCATAACCTTAAAAAATTAGCATATTTATGTTTCAAACTTTTTTTTTTCTCACATCCTTATTCTCAAATTAACATAAATTGTTCATAATTATGATTTCTCTCCAAAATTTTCTTTAAGATAGAGTAAAAAAAAATCATTTGCTCATTATTTTTTAAATAATAAAATAAATAATAATATTAAAATGAGAATAAATATTTGACCATCATTTTAAAGCACATTGACAGTATTTTTGTACGAACAAAAATTTCTGATCAATGAAATATTAAAAATAAGAATAGATAAAGAAAAATAAAGAATGTAAGTTATTAAAAAAAAAGTCGTGTAAATATAACCACCTCATTCCCCATTTTAAAAATTATAGGAAAAGTTATTTCCCATTTTATCACTCTACCTTTGTATTTCTTAATACGTATAATTTTTAATAAAAAGGGCAATAGGCCTTTACACGAAATGACTCGGGGACTCGGTCCAAGTGATGAGCATCAAAAATTTGGCTTGAATTTTATTTCTGGCCCACGGAAAAGAGCAAATTTTTGGCCCAATCACCCAACTTTTCATAAGGGAAATTACAAAAAATCAGGTGTTTAAAGATTGTTTTTTAAAAATCAGGTGCAAAGTTTATTTATTCAAAAATCAGGTAATATATTAAAAGCCCTAATCCCAAACAAAACCTAAATCATTTTTCTTCTGTTCCACCTCCTCTTCGATTCTCGTCTCTCTCTCTACCCTCTTCCTTGCCGTCGTCGCCATTGAGGAGCGCCCACTACCGGAGAGTCGAGTAGCGGCATCGCCGCTATTGTCCAACCTAGAGCAGATCTCCCTCACTGTCGCAAGACAGGCCAGTCGCGCGCAGATCTCTCTAATTTCTTGAAAGAATTGTGTGAGTGGAAATGACAGATCAATATTTGATGGCCGATCTAAGAAACTGCGTCAACGGCAGGGCCTTGTTCCCACTCTGGTTTCATACCGACGCCGCGATTTGTGGTGGTGTGTGTGCGTTTTGCTGTTGCTCGAAGATATTTAGAGCGATGGGGTGGTTTTCATGCTGATGTGATTTTGCCCGCCAACCTTGCCTTCTATCTCTATGTTTATTTGCACAGTGCTTAACTGCCTTTGTGAGTCTTTCTTCTCCCAAAAATGATCTGAGGCTAAAACAGCAAAGAGAGAGGACCGGGACAGTAAAGAGACAAGACCTCTTATGCTGGAAAAGGTGAAAGGTGAATTGGCCCATAACTCTTTCTATTTTTCAAATCTATTCTCTTCCTCACCAAAGAGATCTCAAGCAGAACCCCGAAGGAACATGCTGCATAACACACTTGAGATTCATTATATGCACATAATTCTTCTGTAGCCTCAAAAGTCTAAAATAATAAGTCAAATCAATGTAAATACATAATTCGATCCTGTTTGAACTGAACTAACTCTTTGATCTACGAGTAGCCCAAGAGTACTCAACTGAACTTGACATTCACTTACTTTTGCCCCTCCTACAAAAACTTGTCTAATGCCTCTTTCCTACGAAGTCTTGGATAATTAATTCTCGTCTCGTCTGAAACATAAATACGTCTTATCATAGTGGAATCCTGGATCTAGGTCGGATTCTTGAGGCCACTTTTTGACTTCGTCAGTCTCCCTTAGTGGAGGTTTTTTTGCTCGACCTCTTCTTTGGAATACCTTGTACTGCTAAGGAAAAAGGGCTATGGAGATGAATACCCGTACCGTAGATCGAGGTTGAGCTGGTGACCAATGAGATTTGCTAACCAAGCTTGTGAAATGGAGGAAAAAGCACCAGCCCTTTGCAGCGTCTTTTTCACCTATCTCCAATTTTTGAGAAGAAGAAGCGCGCCCATGTTCTTTTGATTTCACGCATACTTTAACTCTTCGCTATAATACACACCCACGAAATTTCTGATTAGGAAGAGTAGAGTTTGATTCTTTTCATCCCGATTGGGTTGGAATGGTTGAGAGAAGTCTAAAAAGACACAGGGGGTGCGGCTGTCCGTGCTTTTTTTGGAAATGAGGGAAGTAGACTCCAGTTCTGCGGAGTTAATAATGTCTTAACTTTTACATGTTTTATGTAATACCCCTACATTTTATTTTGACACAGAACCTCCTTAAATGAGTCAAACCTTGCGAAGTACCCCATATCATCCATATATGTTGGTTTCTCCAGCAAAACTAGTTGTGAAAATCAAAATTTAAAAAATTGTTACGAGCATTTTCGTCTCTTCAGTTCCATGTTTTCACTTAAGAGCATCTTAGACCAATTCATGGAGGAGGAACCCACTTATGCTCTTTACATGCATGAATCTGCACTTTATTGGGCAGATGGTAACAGCCACAGGCTTCAAATTTTGAGATCTGTTCCTCCATTTTTTAAGTTGTTGATATATTATAAAAATCAACCACTAATTGATGTTAGTCGTTTCTGTTCTTAAAATAATCAAAGATGAGAGAGGCTTGGTGTACCGGGTGTGTTGTGCATATTTTCATTACGATAATAAAAAAATGTGAATAGAATTTCGATTGATTCAATCTGTAGGATAAATAAGTTTTATAAACCAATAATGAACTCAGATCCTTTCGTGTATATATATTACACTTTATCATCATCTTCTTACAAGTTGGCAAAGGATGGGCACTGCTTGGTTTGCAACCTCAGGGTGGGGAGTTCGATTCCTGGATGGAGCAGCTGAGCGTTGTAATACTCAATTTGGGTGGAGTAGCTTGGTGATGTAATATCCATGGAGGAAGGCTCCCTTGGGGCCAGGAGTATAAAGGGTGCACAGACCCTGGTCAATTTGGGCATATCCCGCGATTAACCTCCACCCATCACTGAGGGGCCGGGGATGGGTGGTCCAGGACATAGTCTAGTGTAAGTTAGGATNACAAGCAATTATTCCAAGTGCTGCTCTTCCTAAAGTAACAAAACTTGTAAAAAAATGGCACCAAATTTGGTCCATCCAATAGTTTATGTTCTTCCAATACACCCAAAACTTGCAGCAAAGCAAAATTCACGGAAAAAGAATCTTGAAATCATCTCTTCGAAACCACATTTGGTATTTTGTCATCGTCTTAGTTTTCTTAACTACATTGGGGAGTTGAAGAGACGAAAACGCCCTTAGTGATTTTAATCATTTTGGTCCTCACAACTAGTTTTAACGGAGAAACTAACAAAATAGGGACAACAGGAGGTTATCTGAAAGTTTTGTCTGATTTAAGTGGGTTTTGCACCAAAATAACATGTTAGGGGTATTATGCAAAATAGGTAAATGCCAAGACTGTATTCTACCAATTAACCTTATCCATATTAGGCCCCTATTTCGGAGGCGATTCTCAATTGGATTTTAATGAAAATTTAGACATTTGGAGCGATA